TATATATATATATATATATATATATATATATATATATATATATATATATATATATATATATATATATATATATATATATAAAAGTGTCGGAAGAGAAAGCAGGTAGTCCAAGTGGTCAGTTATTAATATTAACAAAGGACCTCTAAAACAAAGGCGCCTCAGTGGGGGAAGGTGGCCTGGCCCTTCAGCTAGTTGTCTGGCTGGCAATGTGTTGATTCAAGATTGCTATTTTTGAAGCAGATGCTCTTTGAAATGGATACCTTGACAATCAAAGCTAAGTCAGGCACTTACTTTGTAATAAAAACAAACGAACAAACGTTAGGGCTTACACTAGTGCCCCCTAAGTCCAGTAGACTTTCTTCTCTCTTTCCTTTTTGTTTCTGTGTACTTTCAGGAATGTTTTTGAACTCGCTGGTTCTTCCCTTGCTGGATCAAGTTTGCTTTTGAAGCTCTGTATTGAATTTTCCAGGTGAGTCATTGTTCTTTAGTCCCATAATTTGTTTGGTTAGGATTTCTATCCCATTGTTGAACGTCTTGTGTTGTTCACGTAGTTATCCCGATTTTGCTTAGCTGTCTGTGTTCTCTTGGAGGTCACTGAACTTCCTTAAGGTAGTTATTTTTCAGTCTGTTTTGTAGCTCTCCACACTGTTAGGGCCAGTTATTGATGCTTTATTTCATTCCTTTGGTGACAATGTTTTCTTGATTGTTCATGATCCCTGCGGCCTTGCATTGGTGCCTGCACATTTTAAAAAGTTACCTCCTCCAGTAATTATAGATAGGCTTCTACATGGACAGCCCTTCACCAACCAGACTGGGCAGACATTCTGGGCGAGGCAGCTGGTGGATTCCTCAGGAAAGCCTGGTACCAGAGTCCAGGGGTGGACAGGCCTGGTGCCAGGGTCTGTAGGAGCTGGTCTGACACCAACCCAGTCACCCAGACCTTGGCACTGGGCCAAAGACCTAGCCATGTAGCCTGTCCATATGGACAGGTCTGGAGCTTGGGCTTGACCTGGCATTGGGGTGGGCCTAGAGCTTAAGCCTCTGGCAGCAGGCCTGGAGCCTGAATGCATAGGATCTGGCCTGTAACCAGGAACCAATGTGGCAGGCCTGGCGCCTGGGTCTACCGGGGCTGACCTGGCATCTGGGTCATATGGGCTGGAATAGAGCATGGGCCCATAGAGCTAGACCTGGAATCTGAGATTGAAGGGTGGCCTGGTGCCAGGAACAACAGGGGTGAACCTACAGCTTGTGTTCATGGGTGCTGGTCTAGAGGGGCTGGCCTGGAAACTGGGTATGTAGGTCTGGAACCTGAGTCTGAGTGGGGTACCTTGGCCCCAGGGTGCACTGGGGAAGGACTAAGCCTGGGTCTGTGGGTGCAGGCCACTAGGATGGTAGGTGGGTGGGGGCTGGAGTAACCTTGGAAACAGCTGGAACCCGAGTCTGCCGGGGAGGGCCTGGACCCTGGATTTACAGTCAAACAGTTCATTTTTCCACATGAGACAGCTCCTCGGTGGAGAGCATCTCTCTCGGTGTTCATCTAAATGGATCTAGGTAGAGGTGATGCAAGTAAACTGAAACTGTTGATCCAATCTTCAATGCATCTTTTCTCATTTCTTTGCTCTACCTGAGTGCTGCAGTCTCCCACCTGGATACTACAGCTTTTGAGACGGCATTTTTGTGTGTGAATCACTGTCAAATTGGAGGCTGTGACAGCATGAAGGCTGGAACTTACTATTCTACTACCTTGCTGATGTTGCTCTTTATGTCTTAGAGTCTTTTTATATCCTAAGTAAAACGGAATGAGTTCATTCTAGGTGTTCCTAATGGTATCCAAATGGGGCAGTTTCCTTGAAAGGCGCCATTTGTAGACAAAGATAAAGAAGGTTGAGGGAAGTAATTTGATTTGCTGAAATGGGCGAAAATGGTAAGCACCTGATCCAAGCCGGGAATCTGAGTCTGACTGTCTCTGGTATCTGTGCTGTTTAACCAAAAACTTCACAAATTGCTTCATAAAGGTCTTGAATCCAGGCATGACACAGTAGGACCCTAACTGCCAAACCCACACTCACTCAGGGAGCAACGGATTCTGTCTTAGATTTGTCATACATGAAACCATTTACTCTCACAACAGCCCTGTGCAGTAAGTACTACATTACTAAATTACCCATTTACCACTGAGGAAACTGAAGCAGAGAGAATTTTAGTAACCTGCACAGGGCAGTACAGCTCCTAGCCAGCCGAGTTAGGATTTGACACCAAGTGTTATGGCTCTAGAGACCGGGCTCCAGAGCACTAAGCAGGAAACCCCGCACAGTCCTGTCTGGAGCCAGTGACCTTGGAGAAAATAGGCCATTGTGGTGTACGGGAGAGGTGAATGAGAGGATGTAACCATGGGAGCAGGAGAGCAAGGGAGGGGGTGTTTTGGTTATTTTATGAAGTAGTAAAAAAAAAAAAATACTGTTTCCTACAGTAAGGATCCTATTATGCTGGATAAAGATGAATATTAAGTGAAACCAATTCCACATTTACTGGCTTATCTCATGGGAATCTGTTGGTGTCTTATGAGGTGGGACTTGAGAATGAAAGCTTTCCCGCACTTGATGCATTCCTAGGGCTCCTCTCCAGTGTGACTCTTCAAGTGTCTACTGAAACAGAGTAGTAGCAAAAGGCGTTCCCACAGACTCTGCATTCAAAGGGTTTTAGCCGGTGTGAGTCATATGATGAACACAAGGTGAGTGTTGACTGAGGGCCTTTCCACATTTATTGCACGTGTGGGGCTTCCCTCCAATGTGTTGAATATTCATGTGTTGACGCAAATTAAACTTGGAGCAAAAAGTTTTCCCACACTCTTTGCACTTAAAGGGTTTCTCGCCAGTGTGGATCCAACTGTGTTGGATAAAACCGGAGTGGAAGGAGAAAGACTTTCCACATTTATCGCATTCATAGGGCTTCTCTCCTGTGTGAATCCGCCTGTGCTCCGTGAGGTGTGACTTGCGACAAAAAGCTTTCCCACATTCACTGCACTCATAGGGCTTCACTCCAGTGTGAATCTGCATGTGTTGGCTCAAGTTAAATCTGTAGCAAAAGGCTTTCCCACAGTCTTTGCAGACAAAGGGTTTTTCTCCAGTGTGGGTCTTCCGATGCTTAATTAAATTAGAATGGTTGAGGAGGGCCTTTCCGCATTTACTGCACTGATAGGGTTTCTCTTCAGCGTGGCTCTTCGTGTGTCGCCTGAGAGCAGAACTGTTGCAAAAGGTTTTACCACATTCTTTGCACTCAAAAGGCTGCTCTCCAGTGTGAATCTGTTGGTGCTGCATGAGGTCTGATGTACAGCTGAAGGTCTTCCTACACTGTATGCACTCATAGGGCTTTGCTTTAGCACGGACACAGTCACGTACGAGATCCCGATTCCTGACATTCTGGCAGTCACTGTATTCATAATGGTTCTTCCCTGCTTGTTTCATGGGGTCTTTAACTCGTCTGTGTGCGTGACTGTTATGGAGAACACCTACTGGGGAGACTCGCGGCTGTAAAATCCTTGAGTGTAGACTGTCACCTGTCCCCAACTTACTGCATTTAGGGTTCATCTTCCCAGTGCCAGTCTTCTTGTGGGGGTCTTTCACTGGCCTTAAGGTTCCTTCCTGCATTTCTGATGGCCCTTCCTGAGTTTTGGTTTTTCTAGCCCTGGAGTTCCTTGAAGCTCCCTGTCTCAGCCGTAACTGAAGTGAGGACCCCTTGGACAAGAGCAGCTGAGAAGTGGTTGCCTCTGTAGTTTCTGATTTTGCTCTGGCTCCTGAAAAAGAATTCAATACATAAGAGTGAACTATTAGTGATGCCAACATAGAAGAAACAAAATCACCACTTTTCGAGGGAAAATGAGGATGAAAATAATGCCTCTGAGCCTGTTATGTTTTCACATTTCTGAAACCCAGGTTTACAATTTTGTTTTTTCTGTTCCTTGGGCTCTTGACACTTAAAAAGGGAAAACTCAAGAGGGGATGCTGGGGCAGAGGACAGAAGGTCTGGTGGAAGAATCCTCCTTATACTCCTGAGTGAAGGAGGGTGGACAGAACAGTGATGACATCATATACAGTATGTTGGCTCTAAGAGAGAACCTCTCATCATGGTGCTAGGAGAGCACAAATAATAGATGCACCAATTCCAGTCCAGATGAGGCAGTGAGAAATCACAAGAGATTTCCCAGGAGGCACGCCAGGAGTTGTTTCCTCATAGAGAGGTAGAAATTGCCTGACAGAGGAAGTGGAAGGGGGTGGTGCAGGCAAAAGAGACAGAATGTACAAAATCAGTCTTAAGTGAAACCTAGATGCCTAGGGAAATTTAGGTTATGAGAGAACGTTGGAGATATGAAGGTAGAAACACATAGAGGCAGAGGGCGAGCAGATTCCCAGGATTCTGACTGGGGTGCCAGTGATCACAGTCATTGCTACTCCCCAGACAAAGTTTACAAGGTAGAATGAGCACAATATGAGCAGACATATTAAGTCTGCTGTGCCAGAGGACTAGCCATATATTCCTGGCACAAAACAGGTACAATCTGGATAGCAAAAATTATAAATATTTATTGGGTTGTCGGAAAAGTCATGACGTATTTTGTCTATGTTTTTCAAAGGTCATTTATTTATATAAAGACCAAAGATCAATCAATGATATATTGCCCGTTTTGTTCAATAACCTTTTGCCATCTTTCAGTGAGCTTCATAATTCCTTGTTCATAGAAGGACCTGTCTTTATTTGCGAAAAACTGAACAAGGTGCTGATTTACAGCCTCATCTGAATTGAACATTATACCACGCAAGGNGCGCCACTCAGCCGGCCCTCTTCTTGGCTGTTCTTTACGATTCTCTATCATTCAGATCACAATCTTCCATGACTTTGAGTTGGGTTTCTGGAGAATTGTAATTTCCTGTTATCATGTTGCCTTGGTTGTTCATGGTGCTTGACATGGTGCTGGTTGTTCCTCTGCTGGTGCATTTGAAGTCGTTTCTTATTAGGTCCCATTTTAACAATTCCGCAGGTTGATAATTAGGTCTTTCTTTTGTTTTCTAGTAGATGCTGTATAGTGGAAGTTTGTTTTGTTTTACCTGTGCTACTTGTGCCTTTGGGGTCGTGGTGGGGGAACATAGCTGTAACTGTGGAAACTGTCACCTGGGTGACTGGGGTGGTGGTTGCCCCTTTGACATCTGGGTCACCTGGGTTTTGGGGCACCACTACCATGGTGAGAGGCTGGGTTCCTGAGCCCATCAGGCTGTTACTTGGTTCTCTATGACTGCTGGCACTGCTCTTCTATAGCCAGGAGTCTGTAGATGCATCTCCCCTGCTGTTACCGGGCCCTGCTGCAATAGGGGTGGGAACCGGCTTCTCAGGTGCCCATACTTCTGCTTCTCTTAACCTCCACCTGGCCATAGTGTGGGGGTCACACCCCAACTTCTCCACCAATACTACATTGGCTGGGGCCTCAGGCTCAGCTGCAGGGGGCAGGGAACTGTCTGCAGGCACCACCCCAAATTTACCCCCATCCTGCTTCCCGTGTTGCTATATGTCCTCCTTCAGATAGGTGGACCTCTCAGGTGTTGAGCTGAGGAACCTTTGTTGGGCTACAGGTGTCTGACTAGTTGTAGATTTAACATACAAATGGGTCTTCTCACTCCACCATGATGCTTATGTCACTCCTTCTGTTTACTTTTAAAGTCATTATTGATAGTTAAGGGCTTACCATCACCATTGTATGCATTTGTTCATTTATCCCTGTTCTCCTTTATGAGTTTTTTGTGATACACTTTGATTCTTTTTATCTTTCTTGCATTTCTTTGTGGTTACTGAGGCTTGTATAAGACTCTTATCAATCTATTTTGAGCTAATTACAACTTAACTTCAATCACATACATTTTTACTTCCCTCACACATTTTTTATTACTGATGTCAGAATTCATTTCTTTTTTCTTTTGTGTATCTAGTAAACAAATCTTGTGGTTACAATGATTAATCTTTAATTTTTATACTAGGGTTAAAAATGACTTATGAAATCACCCTTAGTTTTACTTTACTCTGTATGTCTATATATGTATCTTTACCTGTTACTTTTACTTTCAAACTTCTCCTTGATTTTTGACAATTATGTTTAGCTATATACCTCTTTAGGTTTAATTTCTCTGTTATCTTTTGGGCTTCCTTTTGGAATTTGGATATCCTTTTCCCTCACCAGATTTGCAGAGCTTTCAGCCACTTTTTGTTTAAATATGTTATCTGCCTTTTTCAATTTCCATGTATACAGTTATCCCTTGGTATCCACATGGAATTGGTTCGAGGATGTCCTGTGGATACCAAAATCTGCAGATGCTCAAGTCCTTTATATAAAATGGCTGAGTATTTGCATATAATCTAAGCACATCCTGCCTATACTTCAAATCATCTCTAGATTACTTATAATACCTCATACAAATAGTTATTCTGTATTGTTTAAGGAATGACAAAAGTGTACATGTTCAGCACAGATGCAACCATTGTACTGAACTACACAGGCCTAACTAAATAGCACGTCAGCAACAATGTAACTTTTTTCCACTTTTGATCCGTTGTTGGTTGACCCCAATGATACGGAACATGTGGATACGAAGGACTGACTGTATAAGTGGTTTGCTTGATGGTGTCTGTTTGTACCGGTCTCAGTCTATCAATAACCAATGTTGTGGCTGGACCAGTCCATGTGTCTCTTATTATGACTGCAAGAAACCCTTTAGCAATAACCATCAGGAAACTTTGAAAAGATACAGGTTTATTACTTACAAGACCTGGAAATTACACGGTACACCTGGAGCCACAGGTATAGAGCATAGGCCTAGGGTTCTGCTTTTATTGGGGTTGAGGGTGGGGGCCTAGGGCTTCACGGGCTCACTCTTTATTGTGAATTTAAAATATAAGGGTGGGGGGTCTGGTTGGGTGGTTCAGTTGGTTAAGAGCNATGTGGGATCCGAACCGGGGCCCTGCTGCTCAGAGCTGGCGTCCCAAGCCAGCTCTTCACCAGTGCACCACTTGGCCGGCCCAAGTGTTGTTTCTTAAATCCATTCTGCTACTCTGCTTTTAATTGGTGAGTTCAGTTCATTTACATTTAGGGTGATTATTGATATATGAGGTCTTACTACTGCCACTTTATCATTTGTTTTCTGATTGTTTTGTATCTCCATTGATTCTTTTTCCTTGTATTTCTATCTGCTATTTTATTTGAGGGTTTTCTATGATGTTTTTCTCCATTTCCTCTTTTTTTGTTTTATATTTCAGCTCTGGATTTTTGTTTTATGGTTACCATGAGGTTTGTATAAAATGTCTCATAGATAAAATAGTCCTTTTTCTTCTCATAGTATCTTATCTTCATTCAACTATATAAATTCCATCCCTTTTCTCCTCCCCTTTAATGTTTTGGTTGTCACAAATTATCCCTTTTTATGTTGTGCATTCGTTACCAAATTGCAGTAGCTGTAGTTATTTTTAATGCTTTCCTCCCTATAACCTTTGTTATAATTAAGGTTTTTAACATCCTATTCTGAAATAGAGTTGCAATTTTGTTTTTCTGTCACCTTACTCAAAGTTTTCTTTACTTTTGTCTTTTTGGTTTTGGTAGAAGAGTTCCTTTTAACCTTTCTTGTAATGCTGGTCTTTGGGTGGTAAATTCCCTCAGCTTTTGTCAGGAAAAGGCTTTATTTCTCCTTCATATCTAAAGGATAACTTTGCTGGATATATTATTCTTGGCTGGTGTTGTCTACCTTTAAATATCTGAATATGCCATGCCACTGTCTCCTGGCCTGTAGTGTTTCTGCTGAGAAATCTGATAACCCAATGTTTCTTTGGGTTTTCCCCTGGCTGCCTTGAAAATTCCTTGTCATCCACATTTTATTTTATTTTTTTAAGCTGAACCATCCTACCACCTGTTGGCAGCTCAGCTCGGGCCAGGAATTGAACTGCTGTTGCTCACACTTGAGAGAGCTCTTAACCAACTGAGCCACTAGGCCAGCCCTTGTCATTAACTTTTTATAGTTTTAATATAATGCATCTTGGAAAGTTGTTTTTGTACTGAGATAATTAGGTGTTCTGTTAGCTTCTTGTATGTGAAAGTGCAGTTCCTTCCTTAGATTTAGAAAGTTCTCATCAATTATTTCTTTGAATAGACTGTGTTCCCTTCTCCCTCTTTTGTCTTTCTGGGATACCCATTATCCTTATGTTGCCCTTTCTAATGAAGTCAGATAGTTCTCATAAGTTTCTTCATGTTAAAAACAAACAAACAAAAAAACTTAGTTCTCTCTCCACTTCCACCTGAATCATTTCTAGATATCTATCTTCAAGTCCTCTAATTCTCTCTTCCATATGGTCTGCTTATTCCCAATGCTTCTACTACATCCTTCATCTCATTTATTGAGTTCTTTACCTCTAGAATTTCTTTGGTTGTTTTTTATAGTTTTAATCTCTGGTAAGGTAGTCTGCTCATAAATTTTATTACTGAACTCAATGAACTGCCTTTCTGAGTTTTCTTGTATCTCATTGCGTTTCTTCTTGGTTGTTCTTTTTTTTTTTTTTTAAGATTTTTATTGGGGAATTGGAGGGATGGGAACAGTGCTGGGGAATTGGGGGAAGGGGAACA